TTCAACCCTCTCTATAGAATGTATATTTTGATTGTTTAGTTTTTGTTGTTGTTGATTATTATCATGTTGTCGATGAAGGATATTTTAAATATTACCATTGATATTTTGATGTTTAAAAAGTACATATATGATATTTTGATATTTAAGAAGGGCATATATGATATTTTGATGTTTAAAAATGACATATATGATATTTTAAAATTTTATGAAATGTAAATATGATATTTATAAATTTTATAAAGGGTAAATATGATATTTAGAAATTAAGTCGGTATCAAATTTTTCCTAAAATAAAATGTGAAATCAACAAAAATACCAAGTACTATTGAAGTCGAAGTTAATTCCCCAACAGTCATTCGTTTGCTTGGGATAACGTTATGCAAAATATCCAGATACACTCAGAGTCCCCGCTCCCCAAAACCCTTCTTCAATCTCCCTCTCTCCTTGCAGCTTCTGGGTTTATGGCGTAACAGGTAATCCTTCGAAACTCTAAGCTTTTATTACACAACAATGGCTTCCACTTTCTTCACTGCAAATTCATTAGACCTAAAACATCATCACAATCAAATCCCCTTCACCTTCACCTTCACCTTCAACTCGCCAAAACGAACAAAGAAATCGCCATTTTTCTACTGCAATTCCTCCAAATCACCACCTAAACCATCGATTCCAGACCTATCAGAAGACACCAAGAAGCAAAACCCTTCTTTAGCCGATCAACTCAAAACCTTATCCACAACAACCCTCTCAGACCCCCCACAAAAAACCACCCAATTGTTGACAAAACCTAAATCGATTTGGGTCAACCCGACGAAGCCTAGACCTTCTGTTCTTAACCTTCAAAGACAGAAAAAAACCTCTTATTCGTATAACCCCCAAATTAGAGACCTTAAACTGTTTTCTAAGAAGCTTAATGACTGTGAAAACTCTGAAGAAGCTTTCCTGAAAGTTCTTGAAGACATCCCACATCCACCCACTAGAGAAAACGCACTTTTGGTACTCAATAGCTTGAAACCATGGGAAAAGGCTATCTTTTTCTTCAATTGGCTCAAAACCCAAGAGTCATTCCCTATGGAAACCATATTCTACAATGTTACCATGAAATCTTTGCGATTCGGAAGGCAATTTCAGCTCATTGAAGATCTTGCTAACGAAATGATCAGTAACGGAGTTGCATTAGACAACATAACGTATTCAACCATCATTACATGTGCAAAAAGATCAAATCTTTTCGATAAAGCAGTCGAATGGTTTGAAAGAATGTACAAAACAGGACTAATGCCCGATGAAGTTACTTACTCAGCTGTTCTTGACGTCTATGCCAAGTTAGGTAAAGTTGAAGAAGTCATGAGTTTATACGAAAGAGGAAGAGCAAGCGGGTGGACCCCAGATGCAATCGCGTTTGCAGTTTTAGCAAAAATGTTTGGTGAAGCAGGTGATTACGATGGTATACGATACGTTCTTCAAGAAATGAAATCTCTAGATGTAAAACCAAACTTAGTTGTCTTCAACACATTATTAGAAGCAATGGGGAAGGCGGGAAAACCGGGATTAGCCCGGAGTTTATTCGAAGAAATGGTGGCTGCCGGAGTTTCACCGGATGCAAAAACCCTAACTTCATTGGTCAAGATTTATGGGAAAGCAAGGTGGGCCCGGGATGCATTAGATCTATGGCAAAGAATGAAATCAAACGGGTGGCCAATGGATTTCATTCTTTACAACACCTTATTAAGTATGTGTGCGGATCTTGGATTACAAGAAGAAGCCGAAAATTTGTTCGATGACATGAAACAATCGGTAAATTGTAAACCGGATAGTTGGAGTTACACCGCGATGCTTAACATATACGGAAGTGGTGGAAACGTTGAAAAAGCGATGAATTTATTCGAAGAAATGTCGCGAGAAAATGTCGCGATTAATGTCATGGGGTGTACGTGTTTGATTCAGTGTTTGGGTCGGGCGAAAAAGATAGACGAATTGGTAACGGTTTTCGATACATCGGTCGCGCGTGGGGTCCGACCCGATGATCGGTTATCCGGATGTTTGCTTTCGGTTGTGTCGTATTGTGAATCGGGTGAAGATTTGGATAAAGTTATCGCTTGTTTACAAAAATCCAACCCGCGATTGGTTTCTTTTGTGAATTCATTAGAATCGGAAGTCGGGATCGAAACTTTAAAGAACGAATTCAAAACAATCTTAAATGAAACCGAAGTTGAGGCGCGAAGACCGTTTTGCAATTGTTTGATTGACATTTGTAGAAAAAGGAACTTAATTGGGCGGGCCCACGAGCTACTTTACATGGGGACAATGTACGGGTTGTACCCGGGGTTACACACGAAGACACCCGAGGAATGGCGGTTGAATGTTCGGTCACTATCGGTGGGTGCGGCTCACACCGCGTTTGAGGAATGGGTGCGGACTTTGAGTGAAATGGTTAACCGTTATGAGCCGTTGCCCGAGTTGTTGTCGGCTAGTACGGGTGCGGGGACTCATAAGTATTCACAAGGGCTTGGGAACGCGTTTGAGTCACATGTGGCGAAGCTTTCGGCTCCTTTTAGGGCGAGTGATGAAAAACCGGGTGTTTTTTTCGCGAGTCGGGAGGATATTGTGTCATGGGTGCAATCGAAGGTGGTTTAGGGTTTATGGGTTATTGTTGTTTTAGGATTTGAGTATGTTTTTATAGCTTTAGATACGGAGTTTATAATGATTCTTATTTGAAACGAGCTATATGTTGAAGGTTTTACTAGAATATGTTGTGCTGGACGTGGGGTTAAATGCAAAAAGTAGTGACAAGTTTTTTGATTGATTTGTTTCATTTCTTTCTTTTACAACATAGCACAACATTGCAATTTGAATATCTAACCAATTATGTCGATATCATTTGATGAAAAGCTAAGAAGATCATGTTTTGGATCTTTACTGTAGGCTTGAAAGGCAAATTCTAGGTAGTTAAGGAACCAATAACATAAGATCATTAAATTTGATAAAAGTGGTCTTTAGAAATAGTCTTTGGAGTTACGTGTGCATTTTGAAGTTGTAATAACTAGATAATTAACTCTTTGGCAATTTCTAGGTACCTAAGGAACCAATAAATAAAGTAACTAAAAGATATATATTTTTATGTAACTCATATAAATTTAAATATGACACTTATTTTTTATCACATATAATACTATTTTCGTGCAAGGAGACGACTTCAAGAAGCTTCAATATATGCTACCCATCAAAAGAGGCTATACACTTAGGCTTGGAGGAGTGGTGCCGACAACATCGAACTCCACCTCCTCCCAAACATATACACACATCAGCCGTAGGCTTGCCAAGAGGAGAGAGAGATTCAACAAGGTTTTGCCGAGTTACACAGAAAATCTCGGCATGCCGAGCTGAGAGGGCGGTGTTCCCTTCAGCAAGGTTGCTGCATAAAGTTAGAAAAATACATTAAGAAGATAAAACCAGAATTGAGTTTTAAGCCCATCAATCCAATTCATTTTATATTTTCTTGGGTGTTTGTGATTGCTTATTTAAAACAATTTTTGTTTTAATTTTATTTTATATAAGTGTTTATTAGTTTATCCGATATAAAAAATAAAGTTTTTGAAAAAAATATATTATGATTAGTTTTTCGAATACAAAAACGTAATAAGTTCGATAAGCTTTTAGTGTTTGGCAAATTTTGTTTATACGTGTAAAATGAACGAAAATGACATCTTATATTTTACCATTTCTTTAAATTAAGGGTAAAAGTGGAATTTAGTTTCTGTCATTAATAAATAGTTCTAATAAATTAAGGGGTGTTTGAGATTTCATCTAAAAACTCATTTTTAACTTATGGACTTCTTGAAAAGTCAATAAGTTAAAAAAAAAAAGTTTTTGGATATCTAAGGACTTTTAAAACAACTTTTGGTTTAGCCTTTGAAAATGAGTTTTTAAGAAGTTACAATTTGTGACTTCTTGGAATGACTTATGACTTAGGCCGAAAGGAATGAGACTCGCTATCCCACTCGTTAGGCTCGCTATCCATGGTGGAACACCGCCCCTAGCGCTCGCTAGGGGGGTCGCTACCTCCGACTCGTTGCAACCTTGGTGACAAGAAAGAGAAACATTTTGTTCAATGTGATTGGTGGAAGACGAATCGGTGAGAGGAAAGAGAAATTTGAGAAATAAAATAATGATTTTGATTGACTCTTTTCTTTTTGTGTTTTTTTTAGAAAAAATCAAAGGATTATGATTGGCTCTTTTTTCATTTGATTTTTGTTTCTAAAATCCAAATGTATACGAAGCTTAGGTGACAGGTAAAAATGTGATGTGACAAAGTGATAAACATGTTTCGACCTTATTAGAATAAAAAACAAACAAAAGTCAATAAGTTAGCCAAACACTTTTTAACTTATTGACTTATTGACTTTTGCCACAAAAAACTAATCCACACACTTTTTTAAAGTCTATTTTTTCCAACTTGATAAGTCAATAAGTCATTTTGAATAAAAGTCATTTTTAACTTCAAAATAAAATCTCAAACACCCTCTAAATCAACATAACTTATTACCAATACTACAACGAAATGGTTATTACCAGTACCACACCGAAATAAACAAAATATTTTTTCCGTAACCCAAAAACTTGAAAGTGCTTATTAAGGGTGTGAAACCGGATTAAACTAAAAAACAATTTAAATAAACAATCTTAAACACTCTTTACTCTCGTTACAAATCCATAAGAACGACTGCGTAACAATTTTCTGAAATATCAAAGCCTTTTTTCGGCTTGATAGGTACGAACAATGCAACATTGTGAAACCTCTAAAGAAACCATATAATGGTAAGAATGACAACTTAGAAAAACTTTCTTTGCAGATCACCTGCTTCTGATAAGATTCAATCAAGAGAAAACGTCAACTACAATATGCATATTAGGCAGATAGACACATCACCACGAAGTAATCTTTTTCCAAATCGCTATATAGCTAATTCACAAAAAATGAAAATATGATCTCCTTGTTCTTGGAAGTGATCGCAAACCGGGTAAAGGAGGGAGTCAATATCCAAGCTTCATTTGTGCTAAGTCTCTCTTTTAGACAATCGAAATCCGTCAAGCAAAATATTCTAATTTAATGTGAACAAGCTTGATCCATTTAGTAGAATCAATTATGACCATTAAAAAGCCGCTATCAATAAAGGTAGAAGTGACTTAAAAATGTAACAAAGTTTCCATAATGTATAAAAAAATACAATTGTTGTTTTTTTAGTACAAAAACACCATTGAAGTATACAATTTGTACACAGAATACCAACGAAGTATATATTTATTCAAATAAAACCTTAGCCAGTTATCTCAGGTAAATGGAAAAATGACTTAAAAGAGTAATGAAGTTTCCAAAAAGTTCAAAAAAATAATAATACCATTATTGCTTTTTTAGTACAAATACCATTGAAGTATACCATTTGTACACAAAATACCAACGAAGTACATATTTAGTACAAAAAATACCATTGAAGTTTCCAACGTGTTCATAAAATACCATTGATGTCCTTTTAGAACACCTTTTGTTAACTTCATTGTTGCCAAATTATGTAGAACATAATCATCGAAGATCATGCACCGTCATATCAGTTCACACTAGTTGTATACTCTCTTTCATTCCCTCACTCGATCGGTTTTTTTATCCAAATACAATCACATAATACCAACGAAGTACATATTTATTCAAATAAAACCTTGTGGTAACATGAGAAGTAAGTGGGTTATAACCTCAATTAAACGTTCTTGCTTCCCGATCATATTATATGCCTCAAACCTA